GTGATGTAATGGCTGTCTCTGAAAATACTATGCTTGGAGGTGGCATCCTTTAGAATGACCGATGAAAAATGTCAGCATCCATTACAAGCCACCTACCATATTTGAAAGATATTTCCCCAAGTTTGTCTAAACGGCTTTGTGTTGTCCTGGAAGTTTTATGCTGCTGTTTTCCATCATCATCTATATTTTAAAAAATTGCTGACAAATTTAAGTATGAATTCAATTCACCCAGTCTTGGACACTGAAATAGTTTATTTTTTCAAATGACAGTTATACCTGCAACTGGAAAGACTTCTTCACAACGGCCTTTCGCTGCATGTGATATTCTCATATTAAAGGAGCTTCTTTAATGTATGAATATATAGGTTAGTCTCTTCCCCACTTTAATACTTGACATCTTTTTTAGAATTATTAGAAAAGGTATGAATTGTATTGCTGATCTTCAGCATGCTAACAACTCTCAAATGAAACCTAAACTGAAATTCTTTTTAGATTCTGTATTGCACATCCACTCTAATTTTAAATGTGAGACTGGGATATGTGGTAATATCAGCACTGGTGCCCACTGTGTGCTATTGCTAAAGTAAATGCAGCTTTGCTAACAAGAGAGATTAAAAAAAATCAACAAAAGTATGCCCTGAAGCTGATCAGATAAATTCTGACTTACCCACTGTCCTGCAGCTTGCTCTACTTTACATTTTGTCCTTTTATAAATAATAGCTCTCAAAGTTTAACTTCAGTTGCTAATAACCTGAACTGTGCTTGAACTGCTAGCCTGAAGGTGCATATCCTATGACCTCTCCTTTGCGCTAGCCAGCCACCTCAAGGCAAAGAACTTGCAAGACGTCAGCCCTGATTACTTGCTGCAGTCATGTCAAGCAGATCTTTTATGAGGGTGAAAGTTTGAGAAGTGTTACCGGTGCAATAAATTAATATCTTCTAAGGGTTATGTTTTACAGGAGGTTTGTTCCATAGGAACCATAAAGTGTAGCTGAACAGGTCAGTCAGCTTGTATTTTTGTGCTGTAATCTGCAGCTGCAATTGTTTCTGTTCACTTATTAGGACACTTCAGCATTAGCGTTCTATAAATCAGGCTGCTAGTTGACAAGGTGTGTACATGCAGCCTAGGCTTTTATTACTTTTGTTACTATCCCTTTGGACAGCAAGTAAAATCTTCCTCGCAAGCCAGTCAGTGCATTGTGATACTCAAAGCACTGAAAATAATGTATGAGGAAGTAAAAAAAATGCTGTTGGCTGCAAAGTCATGATGATTTAAAGTCTACAGAAGAGAACTAACTTATCTATCACTCAAGTTGCACCAAGGATTAATATGGGCCAGTAAACACATTTCTGAAAGCATAATTCTTAAATTATTGGAAATTTGTGAATCTATTCTTTTTTTTTTCTTTCATTATTTCCAAATAGGCAGTAGGTCAAGGTTGAACTATTTTAGATAATTCTTCTTTTTTTGTTTGAAAACTCTGTGCATAGTGGACAGAGCAATTTAAGGTAAAGCAAATCTGAAGTTACCTAGGAAGAGTGTTAAAATACATGTGAAAACTTAAAAAGATCTTGTTTTAAACCCAGAATCACTGTTGACAGAAAAGTGTTATCTACAACAAGTATACAAGTGATATAACTTCTCAGTGTTCTACCATCAATTTTGATAGCATTATTAATTCAATTATGTATCATCTGATACAAAAACACTAAGATATTTTAACATTCCTTACAAAGATTAACATAAAAAGTTCTAGTATTTGGGCCTTGTGGTGGGAGCATATTTTTTCTGCATAGTATTTGATTATTTTTATAGGAAGGTGTCTTCAGTTGATTTATCTGATTCTTAAAGAAGAACCCCCAGGTTCATATTAAAAAATATGAAACTGAAAATTGGAAAAAAGTAAATACAATATTTTATACTGTGAGTAAAAATTTCAAACATATCTGTTCAACTGAGCTAACTCTCATAAAAAGCCTATTGGAATTTCATACTCCAAATGCTTATATTCCTTTGAAAATCACACATAAGATCATACCGGCCTACAGGGCACAGCTTTGCTACTGTCACAGCCTTTCTGTTGCTCCATGCTGTGAAAGTCAGCAGAAGTAAGCAGAAAGGCTACTGATAATGTTGCTGAGTAAACTGCATATAATCCCATGATTGCAGCCAGAATGAACAGGAGTCCCACATCTCCTGCTTTCTATGTTTTGGGTGAACATGCAACACAGATGCTGATATATACATGAGAGTGGCATAGCACAGAAAGATCACAACTGGGGTAGCTGCAGTTGCAAACCTTCAGTAGGCTTTATAGACTTGAGATGCATATTTTAGATACATCTAAGAACATAAAGGAATGGCGGATGTAGGAGACAAGAATAATACTGTATATTTTACTCAAGCCGGACACATGCACAGCTGGAGGTTTTTTCTTAATAAAAATTGCAAAAATATAAGTTAACAAAGTAACTACCTGAGGTCTTATTAGCCTTATTGTAATTTTAGTGTTGCTACCTCCAAGTACGAAGGAAGCAATTTGCCATCCGGTTCATCTGGTTTGCTTATCTGGTTGGATAAGTGCACTCTGCGCTGGGTTAAAAACTGGCTGGACGGCCAAGCCCAGAGGGTGGTGGTGAATGGAGTCAAATCCAGTTGGCGGCCAGTCACGAGTGGTGTTCCCCAGGGTTCAGTGTTGGGGCCGGTCCTGTTCAACATCTTCATTGATGATCTGGATGAGGGGGTTGAGTGTACTCCCAGTAAGTTTGCAGATGACACCAAGTTGGGTGGAAGTGTCGATCTGCTGGAGGGTAGGAAGGCCCTACAGAGGGACCTGGACAGGCTGGATCATTGGGCTGGGGCCAACTGCGTGAGGTTCAATAAGGCTAAGGGCCGGGTCCTGCACTTGGGTCACAACAACCCCATGCAACACTACAGGCTTGGGGAGGAGTGGCTGGAGAGCTGCCTGGCGGAAAAGGACCTGGGGGTGTTGGTTGACAGCCGCCTGAATATAAGCCAGCAGTGTGCTCAGGTGGCCAAGAAGGCCAATGGCATCCTGGCTTGTATCAGGAATAGTGTGGCCAGCAGGACCAGGGAGGTGATAGTGCCCCTGTACATGGCACTGGTGAGGCCGCACCTCGAGTACTGTGTTCAGTGTTGGGCCCCTCACTACAAGAAGGACATCGAGGTGCTGGAGCGTGTCCAAAGAAGGGCAACGAAGCTGCTTATTGCTCTCTACAACTATCTGAAAGGAGGTTGTAGCGAGGTGGGGGTCGGTCTCTTCTCCCAAGTAACAAGCGACAGGATGAGTGGAAACGTCCTCAAGCTGCGCCAGGGGAAGTTTAGGTTGGATATTAGGAAAAACTTCTTCACCAAAAGTGTAGTCAGGCATTGGAACAGGCTGCCCAGGGAAGTGGTTGAGTCTCCATCCCTGGAGGTATTTAAAAGACGGGTAGACGTGGTGCTTAGGGACATGGTTTAGTGGTGGACTTGGCAGTGACAGGTTAACGGTTGGACTCGATGATCTTAAGGGTCTTTTCCAACCTTAATGATTCTATGATTCTATGATTCATAAAGGAAAGGATATTTTTGGATAACCTTAAGACTCCAGCTTCTGAAAAATGTGAAATCTGTGATAATATAAAGAGAATTTGCAAAAGTATATAATATGTAGATTACTCATTTATTAATGAATGGTATGGAATTCTAGCTAAATGGCAGTAGACTCTCCTTGCATTGAACTGGTTTTGTTTCATTCCTAAAGAAATGGAGAACTTGATAAGCTTATCAAACGGAGCTGCAAAGCTGACAAACATGACCAAGAAGAAATCTGAAAAGGCGGTCTTTATCTTGCACTGAGATGTTGTTTCATGACAGACCTGTTCAGAATGAAATGTCAGTAATGAGACATATAGAACATGGTTGACTACCAGGTTATAAAACAGGTCCTACAGCGGGGGCACTGTCATACCATCATGGGCATCACTCTTTTCCCATTGCTTTCTTCTTAGGAGTCAATTTTTCAATTTTTTGTAGTGAGTTAAGGTTACTAGATGGTAGCTTTTTAGGTAAAGTTGCTGAAAGTTTGCAGTTGGATAATGCATTTTCACAGAAATCAAGTGTTTTCTAGAAATGTTAACACCAGTACAATCTTTTGAAGGGAAATAAAGGCAGTCAAAGCAACACCCCATGTTTTGACTTGATACAACTAAGTGTTCCGTTCAAAGAGTATAAAAGACATTGATTTACATTTCTATTTTTAACAGTTATGTTACATTAATATACATTCTATGTTTAATGTTATTACATTGAAAGAAGAAAATTAATTAACCACCAAGAGCTAATTCAAGGGAGAATTTTTTTTTTCCTTACATCAGATAATAATAGTAAATCACATCCTATCTCTTTTATGGAAGTTCAAGAATCAGTAGATGTAATTAGTTCTTGGTGTCCCTCAGTTTGAACATTAAATTTCTTGTTAGAAGGGAGAGTTTAATTGGGAAGCAGCTGGTCCAGATAGCCTACCAAATAGACTAATGGACTTTGTGACTTGTTTAGCCAGAACAACTTAGTCCGTAATTACTTTTTAGGTAAGAAATTGTTCAGGAATACTTGGCTGATTGTATTATCTGGTAAAGTTTCTTGTTGTATCATAGCATGTTAGAGGTCAGGCACTCTTTGAAGTTGTCCATGATGCATGTTCAGTGGGAATTATCCTTTTTGACATAAGTATTATGTATAACTTATTGTTTCCAAAACATAACTTGGTCCTCTTATTCCAGGAAGAGTGTGTGCTTATGTGCATATGGGGGGCATATGGCTGTGTCTATGAATATCTTTGAATTACTAAAATGATGTATGCTTTGAACTTTTCATCATTTTAATTTTGTCTTTCATAAAGAATGTGTTGATTATAATTTCAAGTGAGTATTTAATTTGGCTAATTGACAGCTGGCTATACTAATTGTGATTTGATCTGTTTTTTGTTCTGTCTCTAAAGGAACCAAGATCTCAATAAGCCCATCAAAGTGAATCCAAGTTCTTTCACAAGTGACAAGGAGTAAGTTTTCAAAGCTTCTCAGACTCTGCTTCTCTAAGGCAGTGAGTAGTTTGTAACTATGAGAATGTCAGGAAAGGTAGTGTTGCAAATCTATAAAATGTTTATAGATTAATAAGTAGCATTCCTTACACAGAATGATGAATATAAAAATACAGATTAATTAACTGGTATGTGCACTATCAGCTGAACAAGTAATATCTATGGCAAGCTTCCACAAATGCCTTATATGCTTCCTTAATAAAACTATTAAAGAAATATTTTAATATAGTTAGAGAAGGGGCATTAAACAAAATATCGTAGAACTCATGGATGATAAGTATTGCCCCAACAGGGTGTAACAAAGCATTTCAGTCAGCAAGGGCAGTGATCCATAAAAAAGAGCTTGAACTTACATTTTTGAACAGCACATCAGTTCAGTGTGTTTCAGGCCAAGTTTCTTGTGGTCTGTAAGCAGCCCTTCAGCATACGGAAAGGGAGGAACTGCCAGGGTACTATGCTAGTAAGAGCTACCTAATATTTGTCACACCTAACACGAAAATTCTACAGATAACTTCAAGAATGATGTCCTAAACAGTAGCAGCAAATAAATGTTGCCAACATGTGATCATCTGTTTTACAGTAGACAATCTCACATATATGCATACGTACGTACACATATATGTACACTTAGCACTACACTGTAAGTTAAGTACAATTTTTTTGCAAATTTTAATTCACAAAGAATTTATTAGGATAGAGTCCAAGACTTTGAGACACTACTGAGTTTTAGGAAGCATCCAGAGTTTTAAGATTAATAAGCCTATTATAGATTGAAGTGACCAAGTTATCAGTTTCACAGAGCTAACTTAGCCTTTTGCTTTTGCTCCCTGCTTCTACCTAAAGAGAATCAGGGTTTTTTTACATTAGTTAGAGTGCTTTTCATAGGTCATTCCATCCTCTAACTCAGTGAACCATTTTAAAGTAACTAAAAAAAATCCAGAGGAAAAACTAGCCACTAGTTTAACTGTATTTATGAAATTTTAAAAAAATGTTTCCTTATATGTAAACTTTGTGAGTCTTTGGATGCTTGCATTTTCAGTAGAAGTACAAACATTATCAACGCTTTTATTGTTAACTATGGTGACACACGGAGTTAATTTCTTGTCATTCCAGAAGCAAAAATATGTGGTCATCTGGACATATTTTTAGGTGTCGTCTTAAGAAGTAGAAGTTTCTTAATTTCAATAAAAATGTATTTTATTGCAAATTAATGATGCAAACAAGGATTAAGTTGCTTGGAGCCTGTAAATTAATACTAAGTACTTTGAGAAGTTCATGTTTCTCCTTCACTGTCTTCACTGGCAAAGAAGAATCTTAAACTATGGCATTGATATGATTAAACAAAGCCTTTTTATTTTCTTGGCTGTACTAGATAATATTTTTTATTGAATTGTAGAGAACTTTACCTTGCTAGTGGAAAATTATAAACATATTTTCTTATCATGGTCAATAACATAAGTGTTTGCAAATTCTGAACATAAACTTAACCAACAATTTACTTTTCTCCTTTAAATGCGTGCATAAATAAGTTTCTTTCTTTTAATACACTTTAACTCTTCCCAGAAAGGAAGAATATTTTAACAGTTGTATTTGTTTGTTGTTTCAGGGGAAAAGAGCTTGAGGATTTTACTGAAATAAATACTGCTGGTCAGAAAAATAAGAGGCAAGACTGTCATAATCTTTCCTTTATGTACTTACAAAATGTTTGTGGTTGGTTAGATATTAGTATTAACAAGTTCTATTCTGTAAAGATCATTAGAGGAGTCAAAATTAATACTTTTATTTGATTTAAACCATAGAATTTAAACTTTTAAAAATTCCTCATTAAATACAGGCTAGTAAATATAAATAATTCAGCATGGAAGAAACGCAAGTAGTACTTGACTTTATCTTATTGGAACTCTAAATAGTCAGTGTGTGACCATCAAAGTTCTTTAAATTAATGTGAAATGCTCCACCAGACTAAAAGTTGTCCTTGAAATACAAAAAATGAGTGCCATAAATAGAAAAAAATCCTCTTTTTTCTTAGTATCATTCTCTGTTTTCAAATCAGAACTACTGTGGCCTTTTTTTAATCTTAAACAATTCTTCAATGGATAACATTATTTTTTTCATTACAGACCATTTAATATAAAATATTAATACAAAATCAGCTTTTTCACAGCCAGTGAGTTATTAGCAACTAGTATAGATGTGATCATATGGTTCTAGAGATCATATAGATATGACATATCATATAGACAGCCCTAGATAACAGCAGTTGTAAGAGGAATCTGAGCTGGATATACCAACAAAGCAAATAACACACTTTGGCAGCCACTGCTCATGGTATTAGTGCCTGCATTGAATGAAATGATGTTATCAAATTAAAATGATAGAGCCTTAGTTGGTTTGGAAGACGTAGGCAGGCCCTTCACCTGTAGCATGGCAACACAATAAGACACAGTGGTCATAAATTTAAATAAGAGAGATTCAGACTGGATACTAAGGAGGACAGTCCAGCAGTGGAGCAGGTTGCCTGTAGCGGTTGTGCCATCTCTGTCCTTAGAGGTTTTCAAGATCCAGCTAGAAAAAGTCCTGAGCAACCTGATCTGTCCTCAGAACTGCTCCTGCTATTCCAACTTGAATTATCCTACAGTCCTATAATGAACTTAGCATTTTTGAGTAGTTTGTCATTCTTTTGTAGAATCATTAGAACCATAGAATCATTTAGGCTGGAAAAGACCTTTAAGATCATCGAGTCCAAGTAGTGTCACACTGGAAAGAAACTGAAAAATATTGAGGTTTGAACTGATAACTCTTACTTCGTAAATAACTAAACACTTACAATATGAAACAATCATGATACATAATCAATGTGGTCAGGAATCTTCCTTGTGAAATGCATATAATTTTTTTCTTCTTCAACATAAATAATTCAACCCATTTAATATGTTTAGGTTGAATCAAATAATTTGATTAATTCTGAGGTCTTTCTCACTGTCACAGAGATGAGGAACTTGGTGATCACACTAAAGTCAAGTCTGCTAATGACCAAAATAAAAAGTGGTGAGACTCAATTTATAGTTCTCTAAAATTTAAAGAGCTAATATCAAGAGCTGTAGTTGTTTAGTGTGGTACCAGAAAATGTGAATTCCTAATACAAGCAAGCCGAATTTGCATAACTTGAGTAAGATATTCATATTATTTATAAAATGTGCCTGATTAACCAAATATAACAATATAGCTGCATGTATTTTGATAAGCCAAAGTAATGACTCAAACCTATAATCTCTTGTAGTGAATGAAAATGCCTGGTGACAAAATCCACTTAACTATTTTTGTGCTTATCTAGGTATTTTGTGAACTCAGCTGTTAGCATCTCATAGTTGAAAAAAGTCACTGCTACTAGGTTTCATTACCTGGAAAAACTAAGATCCATTTTGGTCAATTAAAATGAAGTTAGTATTATGTTTTCAGGTACCATTCTGATGGTATCTTTTTGAGTTTTCCATTTAGTTGTATATCTAAATGAAGAGAAAGAACTTAGCTATCTGTGTACATAAGTACTTTTGCTATTTTTTAATATAAAATATTTTTATCCTAGCAGTCCCACTTGACAGTCTGACCAGAGAAGCATATACTGAATATCTACGGTGAATGAGTTTCTCTTTTAGTTCTGAAAGGGGGCCTAACAGATGAGGAGTCAAGCACAATAGAGGGTGCTGCTTCATGCAGCATGCTATGCATATAAAACAGTGACCAGCACTGAGCAAGGTTCATTTAGCAAAGCTTCAGACCTTGGCAAGCTCACTTTAATAAATCAAGCTGCAGCCCAAACATCCAGAGTTAAGGCTTATAATCAAGTTGTTTCAGAATATAACCTTTGGCAGAATCAAACAAGAGCAGCCTTTGTCTGAGCTGCTTTGTAAAATCATCAAAAACATTATTAGCATTTATTCCTTAAATCCTATAATCTGTCTGACAAGGTTTATTTTTATGTTTAGTTGCATGTCATGTTTGTGGCAGGCAAAACTGCAGGAGACAAGGTTTCTTTTTCTTGCATCATAATCCTGCTTTTTGAAATAAGAATCTATGTATCTGTTTAGCTGGTCATTTCTAATAAAAATATCACTGTAGTATATGCAAAAAAAGAAAATTTGGAACTAAAATGTAGTAAAACCAAGAATAAAACATTATAGAATACTGCTAAGGAAATGCAGAATTCTATTGACCACTGACACATTTCTGCACTGTTGAAAACCTCAGTGGGCACTTTGAGGAAACCAGAGTTCAATTACAGTTAGATGAAGTTTCTGACATTAATGTTTTTACCAGCATAAACCAGAGGTCAGTGATTCCATTACTTTTCACAAGTAACAATTTAACAACAGTAAGAAAAAGATAGATTTCTTTTACTTACTGTTACTAGCCCAAGCTTCTACATTTATGGCTGTAAGTGTAACCGAAAGCTGTGTAGCTGAAAATAATTTCTAAAAGGTGCTTGTTTTCTTGTTGTGTGTGTTTTTTTTTTTTTTTAGGATAACTGAGCAAGCATATGAAAATCCTCCAAGGGCTCCAAGTAATCTCCCAGAAACAAACTACTCCAGGGACAGTAGAGGAAAGACCAGGTACTGTGGACAATTAATTGAGAACCATAACAACTAAAGTGCCATTTCTTTCAAAAAAAATTAAGAGAAACCATCTTCATGCAAGAAATTTCAGGGATGTTTAGAAACCTCACACTGGTCTCTGGAATCATGCCAGCCCCCTTCCAAATTCTGCTTCCAGGATCCCACGAACAGAAGCCCACAAAGCATAGCTCTAGTGCACAGGGCAGGGAGTACAAGACATACCCTGTGTAACTCTAGAGATGTAGCTGAGGCATGAAATTAAGGCGAGCAGTTAAGACAAAATTCTTATATAATCAATAGGGGAGAGGCATTTCCTGCAGGTTAGACGCACCCTGCTCTCAGGGAGCTTATTTCTTTCCAAGGCCGTAAGGAAAACATTACTCTCTTCACTCAAGTGCCTTGTTAAGTTCCTAAAACTATATGGGATGAATCTGAACCCATGTATCATCTCTTATCCCAATCACTGAAACTGTAACATGGGTTTCTGACTTTTTGACCAGGTACAAACTATTTTAAAAACCATTTCTCTTGCAATACTCTTGCTCTAGCTGGATTGTGTCTCTACAAGCACATGTTTTGCAAATCTGAGTGAAAAATGTGATACAGGGATATTTAATAGAACTAACTAAACACCAGGTCTGTTGGTAACAGGAAATCATTGAAATAAAGGAAACAATGTATTTTTCTTCACAGTCAAAAAGTATTTTCAAGAAATATGACAACAAACCCCATAATATATAATTCTTGAATGAAGGACCTTTTTGGATTAGGAAAATGCCTCTTCAGTACCAACTCACCCATCTATGTGGATTTAAGTATTTATGTTGACAGGATTGTTTAAAGACAGTCCTATACGTAAGGTGTGGTATTGCTGTATAGTGGTTGTGAATTACCAAAGTCAAGGCTGATGACTTGGAAGGGAGAAGAAAGAGAAGAAGGGGAAGAAAGGGAAGAAGAAGAGAAGAAATCTTCTATTGAGCCTTACTAATAGGGAAAATAGCAGTCACAGTCTGGTACTTTATGGGAACTATGGCCCAATCCTTAAGCTTATGCACACCTGAGCCTTGGTGTGGGTATGACTGGGCATGGGGTCTTTGATCTCTCATTTTCTTACATTTGCTGTAGGAGGCTGGAATGCAGTTAAAATTTGTGTATTCTGAAACTTCTGCATGGCCTTGAAGGACAAGCTCATAAATTGGCTGAGAATAAAAGAAAAGCTAAACAGCATACATTTTTAAGACTCAAAATGAATATTCAACACAAAAATTAATTAGCATTTTGCAGCATTTTGCAGACATGAATCTTCTGAGATGTAATATTCTGATTATCTTTGAAAATTAAAATAGAGAACAATAACACAAGAATGGTAAGGCAAAGAATGTGCTTCAATGTGCAGCGTTACCTTACACTTGACAAAATGTATAGCCCTTACTTGAAGATGTAATCCCAATGGAATTAATGAAAGCTTACTAAATGAATGGTCTTTGCAGGTTATTCTTTCCGGTTATATGCAATAGGTTCTAGAGAGTATTCATTGTTGAGTAGTTTGCTGTATGAACAAGCCACACCACAGCAAGTAAAGGAGTGAGTGATATGAACTGAAAGAAGGAACTTGGTCAGATAGGCAGGTCTCAGGCTGCATTGTGGCTCAGTTTTATCTTAGTGTCTTGTCAAGCTGTCAGCCTATACATTGATTAGAAAAGGTTCTGAATTTCCTCACACTTTCAGTCAGCAAGACTAGAAACTCATGCTTAGGAAATATTTTTGCTGTAGCTTCATAGTTTTTTGTTCTATACAGTACAATTATTTTTTTTAAGATGTGTATATATATACTTGTGTGTATTTCAACTATAATACTCTAGCCAGATATTAAAATCCAAGGGACACTGTTCTCTACACTAGGACACTTGAAGAAAGTGTTGTTCTCTGTACTACTTTCTGTAAGATAAACAGTGTTATTTTCAGACATGCTTCATCTAAATACCCATATTATGTTGAGTGTGCAACGCACAGTACTCACTTTGCCCTGATCTCAACCCTGATTTAACTAGATGATTTGAAATGCCAGCCTGACTCAGCACTAGATTCTTCAGCTAAATACAATGAGTTAAATGGAAGATTTAGGAAAAATAAGCTTAACAAAAACAAGCACAGACAGGGCCATACTTTATAGAAATAGAGAGGTGATATTACTATGACACTTTTCACTATAGCAAGAAACTTTAGGCATTTGCACCATCAATATACCTCACCCTGTGACATGTGTTGTGCATGTGTCTAGCTTGGTCGGGGCAAAAATAGCCAGAAAAACTCTTTCAAGAGGCAATCATTTAGCTTTAGTTTGCTTTCCTACTTAGTAAGCTTACTTTCATCTTTCCTAAAATGTAAATGGAGCATTGGGTGTTCATTTGAGGAGATATTTAAGCTTCTCAGTAACTGTGCAATTGTAATACATTTCTGGTGTTGCATAGAAATCAAATAAGACATATACACATTACAAAAGACAGGTATCTAGAAAAGTGTATCTGGGCTGCGTAACACTTTAATCATGTTATCAGTCTGTTATACTTGCCCTGAAAAAACAACGTTCTGCAAATACACGATTATAAAAAATTGTTCCTAACTTTGCTAAACATTATTCAAGAGTGATACGAAACATGTAATAATTACCATATACCTTATGAATTTCTGGACAAATAAGTTAATTAAATCAGTTCAGAAATGTTCAAAACATGTATGGCAAGATGACTTGTTCAGCTGTCACATACATGCTCATCCCTTCCATGCAAACAAAACTGACAGTTAAGCAACTAGAACTGGGACTGTTAAAAAAGGAAGATTTAACTTCCCTGATAGTTAAATTCAGTATATTCCTTCCTACTCTGACACCAGGAACACTACAGTTACTGTAGTGAACACAAATCACACATTGAACAGCCTGTATTATAAAGACTCTCACTCTACTTCTAAGGACATGTTGTAATTTCGTTTGGCTGTTTGACAACTCTTTGAGGACTAATGAAAGAAGGGAAGAAAAAGAAAAAAATGCAGTGTGTCACCATTTCCTGATATGTATCATTTAGGCTGGGATATCAGCCCAGGTAAACCCAATACCATCATGTAGATTTTGCTCAATGGGCTTGTGGATTTAATTTTGAAATGTTGAAGAATCATTCAACAACAGAACACAGTCTAAGGACACTGTATTTCTAATTTATGCTTTTTTAATTTGATATATTTTTTTTGATGGTTGTGAAAATACAGAATAAGAGCTCATCACCAAGTATGATGATTTTTTTTGCAAGCTTGTTACATTAGTTTAATTTGCATATTATCATCAGCGTAGTGAAACCTTTAAAAACAAAAAGTACTGTTTAGTGATTGCTATGCACTCACTGCTTCACAGCAAATCATCATATGGTGCCTATGAAGAAAATATAACTGGAAATACTATCAAAACTGTTTACTCTACTTCTGATCGGTAAGTACACATTAATAACATTGTAGAGTGTCAAAGGACACAGACATTTTGCATAAGCGTTCAGGTTCAGACAAAAGAGAGCAGTGGAAGTCACCATTAGGCTTGTCAGACAGCTTTTCATACAGAGCTCCCCTTCAGTGGGATCTTGCCATCAAATCATTACCACAGTTCAGCAGCCTAATATTATGTTAGGCTTGTCACAGCTGACATTTTAAAGTATCTATAGAAACAATAGCCAATGCCTTAAGTAATAAAATTGGCTTTGTGATTCTATAGGTTTCTACCTCAGGCAGCTGTTTACTCTGCAAAATTTCCTTCCTTTGTGAGAATGGTGTCTGTAATGACCAACTTTATGTACAGCTGTGGAGGAAGAGGTTCACATGACAATGCTGTTAAGAACTCTGTGTTTTCACACCAGTTAAGGTATTCCCAAATATAAGAAGGGTATTTGCTCAGTCAGTAATATCTTACCTCATGAGGAAAAAAAATTAAATATGCCCACTATTTTCAGTTCAGAAAATTTGGACATTCCCATTACTTGGAAATATCAAATTAGAAAAACTTGTATCCTTTCCAACACAAGTATAAGGAACTCTGGGAATGTTTAAAAATTGGTACAATGGTTTATCATTGAGTGGAAAGGAACAAGACCAGTTGATTTTGTAGTGCAAAACTAACACCAACAGTTGTATCTAGAGAAAGTACAGATTGATGTCACATAAGAATGCAAAAAAAAAGCTGATAAAATTTTTAAAAATATTATTGTTATGAATACCAGGTAGGCTGTTCTATACATGTGTTCATTACAACTGCCACGAAGGCAGGATTTCTGTCTGCAGTGCAGAAAATTAAAAATGTTTTCAGGAACTTCCGCCACATAGAGCAGAATTCTGACTGATCAAATGATGGCAGTTCCAATTCAACTACCAATTTACTTTTGTGATTAAAACATTAAAATCATTACCCTCCACTTCATCCCCATTTAGTATACGTGCTCCCAGGCATTCAGCAGCTTAATACAGTCTCATTACCGTTTGAAATCATTCAGTTCACCAAAGAAGACCATTCTTTCTGTCAAGGTATTTTTGCTACTTGACAATTATGCTCAGCAATTTGCCCATCACAGAAGCATGTGTATTACACCTGTCAACTAGAATGGAGGGAATATACACATGACATTTTTCCATTTATGGCCATTGTACAGTATACAAATGTCTTTCCCACGTAGTGCACTAAGCTTATCAATTTTATCCTTGCGATTTCAATGGTAGCTCTTTTTCTGACAGCTGATGTTATATTATATACACAGGAGTATAATTGGAAAAGATATATGTACATACTGCAGGAAGCCCTTGGGCATAGATGCCAAAATGATCTTAGATGCCTTGCAAATTTGCTGTCATTCGACTTGCTTCAAGGTAAGAAGATTTCACCTGCTACTAAGAAATATAATTTGAATGTAAAACCTGCATTATAGTACACATATAATAAGAGAATAAATAGGCCCTAGGCCTTCTCCACCTAGGCAAAGAGGAAGGCTTGCACAGTGCAGGAGAAGATTAATGTAGGAAATACTAGTCTCTCCCTTTTTCCCCTACACAATCCCTTCCTCTTTCTTCCCATCTCTCTCTCTCCCTCTTCCTCTACTCTCCCTCTCCCTGCTTCTCCTTCTCTTTTGCAACCACAAGGAGGATAAAGGATGCAGTGGAACATATCCTGAATGTCCTACACACTTATAAACCTTCAGTTATACACGCTTCCAGTCCGATATAGTGAATTATATACTACTTATACTTTCTTCATATTGTAAAATTTTATTCTATGAAGTAAAATGTAGGATAAAATGTAGGATAAAATAATGAAATTGGATATGTCTTTGCCTCAGTCTTATTTATTAAAAATTAAGTAAAAAATTTTTTCCTGTTTCCAATAAGAAGGAAAGCACAGAAGAAAATTTTTTTGCTTGTCATTCCAAAGCCTAAGCCTCAGCCTAAAATTTGCTCTTCAACTTTTCTCAGGGTATGCCTACCAGTGCTCAGCCCTCTAGTCTGTTTTCTTTCTGCCTCATTTGTCTTAATTCTGCTTGCGTCTCCCCACAGTTTGTTGTTCTAACAAACAATACTCGGCAAACTCATCGCATTAGCATAGCTCATTTTTCTGCCCAGTCTTGCATAGCTTTTACTTCTGCTTCTAACAGCAGTTCTTCTACCTAGTTATTGCATGAAAAGTATCCCAAAGCAGAATACAGCAGTAAGGTTGTACTTAACATGTATGAAGTTACAATATGCTTTTTGTCTCATATGGACTTTCTGAGCTCTGTGAGCACTAGAAATGCAATTTCTTCCACGGAAATCACTATGTAATACCTCCTCAATACTATTATTGCAAGTAAATAGAAGCTCTGGTTTGCTTCCATTCTTTTTAGATAGATCAACCCTCATAAAGAGGAATGGGCTATTTATGTAGTTAGGAGTGTTAACATGTTGGTATTGGCTGAGTTATCTGTTAAATATTTAAGCTTATTTTTTAAATTATATTCTTTTTACTACCTATTCCCAACTGGGGACCTGTCTGGCCAGCAAAATTCAGCTTAAGTTTTGTGTAGCTACACATTTATGAAAGCATTGGAAAAAATTAAACAACTAATGTAGGTCTGTGGTTCATGCCTGTAGTTATGTATTTAGCTAAGTAGCGCAATTTCTCATCATTAATATTCATTTAGCTCCTTACAAATACCCTGTATCCATTAGAGAGTTGCATGTAGCTGACAGCAGTATAATGTCTTTGTTTCCTTGTAAAGGTATATACCAAAAGTTCAGTGAGTAAATAATCCAAAGTGTAGGGTTTTTTCTCTTTATAAAAATGCTAGCTAATCTGGGTGATAAAAGCTTTGAAAACATGACCATTCTTTTGCTGATTTATACAAGGAAAAATAAAATTAATTAAGAGAGGAGACTCTTTTAACAGTATCATAATACTGACAGCTTATGTAGAAAAGATACAGAAAAAACATAGTTCTGTAAAACTGAAAAAAAAAGGTTGTCTAGTACTCTAACGCGTTATAATAATCAATACTGAGTACTCAGTTGCAATTTCATATTAGCCCTAGTGAGCATGTGTAACATAAGGCAATTAATTGCATATTGTCTGGATCCTGGATCTAATAACTCACTCTGCCTTTAAGACCATGGTGTTGACATCACACAATTTCTTTATTCCTTTAGCTGCAAAGGGATGTTCTGGGTAAGACTGTTAATTTTTAATTTTAATAAAGATTTTCAGTCCAAATTTATTTGAATAGACAGCCATTGTGAAAATTATGGAAAAGCTTACAGCCTTTCTGGGATGGCTGGCAATTCGGTTATGGAATTGTGCTGTAAAAGTAATGCTGATTTTCACTTATCAGAGCATAAAATATCCCAAGAAACCAGAATATGCTATTCTTTTATTAGATTGCAAAAAAAGGATGATCTGGGTCTCAAGATTCTGGTTTATAGATCAAATTACTTTACTCCTTCATCCACTGTAGGTTTTCCTCATGATCTTGGGAAGTTAACCTCTGTGTGTATCTGTGTATTTTCATATGTGAAACATGGGCGATGCTTGTCTGTCTCAAAAATTAACTTTTTGAGACATTTGTGAAAGCACTGTCCAGATTCTGCAATAATGGGAGATATAGTTAATGGTTAAGATCATAAAATATATCATAAAATATATCATAAAATATTTTTAAATAAGCAGGTTTAGATTAAGATCTACTCTGAGTCAGATGATTAAATCTGATCAGGCTTCCTTTACTCAATGAAGAAACAAAAGGATCACAAAAGGGTGATTCATCTTATTTTAGAATAAATTTCTAAGCTAAGAGAGAGAAAGTACCCTTTGGAAATGTCTGGGGGAAGGAAGGGGTTGGTGAGTGTAACGAGAACCTAGGGAACCAGTTGAGACTTAGGTATTTGATTTTTAGATGTCTCAAGGTGAGATATTCAGATGTCTAATCTACTGTTCATTAAAACTACTCTTTCAGAGTTCAGATTTGATGATATTGCAGTACTCATAACCCCTATTCTGGTCTGGGGTTGCTTAGTTCCTGAAAGACAGCATGCTGGGAATGAATATTAGACAAGGGTTTCATTTTAATTTTTCTTGTTACTTTTACTTGTGTATTGAAGTGTGAAGTATGTAAAAGATCGCTGGAAGATCTGAAAGCAGGAGACAGCATTTGGATTTACAGAAAAACCGTGCATTGTGAGCCTTGCTATTCCAAAATTAAAGGTAAGATGCAAGATGTATTATACGGAACATAAGAAAAACGATGTAGAGAACTTCATTTAAATAACTTCAATATATTACAACACAGCTATTGCTTTTGCTCATTTCTGTGTACTTAAACCTTTTCAAAGTATTTCATTCAGTAAGACTGGGTTGCTTAGGATGATATCCAGCCCCAGGTTCTAGACACAATAATTATTCTGTACCTGCGAGGGAGATCTCTTAAGGTCTCATTGTAGAGTCCTACCTGAGCAGTCAATGGAGACACCTACAGAGAGGCAATGGCATCTTGCCCTGAAAGTGACAAGAATAAATTGCAAGGCCATCTGAGAATCAGGTTGTTCTATTGAAATGAATAAGCCAGGGTTCAGAGGTATTTTTACCTAATGTAGTCATTGTGACCAATAAAGAGCAGATACAAAATCTGTTACACCATAATGAAAACATTATACTGCGAGTATCCTTCTTTCTTACCTTTGTGAGGAGCATAGTGAGTAAACAGATGTGAAAGGCAGTGAAGAAGGCAGCTTTTGTTTTATTAATTTTTCTAGAAGTTGCTAGATTTTAAGTCTTCTCTGTTCATGGCAATTTTTAATTCATAATACTATAAATCAGTACCTCCGTACCAAATAAAGACAAATGGAAATGTAGATGAAATGTTCTGATAAGCTGGTGTTCACCTATGTACTTCTGAGACAAGATCAGGTGAACTAAAATTATATTAATCCATTTGTTTTGTTAAAATACTTTGTGTTATTATGCCATTGCAAAATTTGATGGGAAGAGTAAAAATTACAATTAATCAGATTATAAAATTAATAAGGCATTGTGACAGTTATAAAACTGTAGAAAGACATACCAATGGTCTGTATATTAAGCATTATAAATTGACATATCCTATTTCAGCAAATGACAAGATGGGACAGTCAGTCTTCAGTAGATTTTCTAAAAAAATAAATTGATCTAAAGTTTCCTTGTGTGACATTTAGAGAACACTGATTTGCTTGGCATTGCTGATCAATCTTTTCTCTCTTGCAGAAAAATGGATCTACTAATTTTGACATACAGAAAGCATGATAAAGAAGTTTCATTACTGTTTAGTTAAGTGTATTGGCCTGTTAATTCAAACCACTATGGAAAATGATTAATTTTTATTGCTAGGAACAAACACTCTGAATGCAGTCCTACTGCACGGTTCCCAAAGGAATTAATTTCATGAGAATTTAGATGCCTTTTCATACACACAATCCAGGAAGCAAAACAAGATTTTGTTCAATATATTCATCAGATCTGTGAAACTGCTAAATTGTATGTAAAACTAATGATAATTTATTGAAATTTTCTGAACAGCAGAACATACCTACACATGTTTTGAAGGGGCTGTATTCTCTTTACTGAAAACGCATCTCCTCAGATATAAAGATCTGCTATCTTTATATAGCACAAATGGGATTAATCTCATCAAAGATTAGTCATTTAAAAGTCAGTTATTCAGTTTAAACTACTATTTTCATAGAGAGTGAGGTGGGTTCGCTCTGTACCTTTGAGGAAAGACATCAACCTCCAGAGGAAGATTCTTCCTAAGTGACTTAACTGATAACTTTAAGATGGAACAAATCATCTTTGGAAAATGCATCTCCATTACTGCAGAGGGATTCTAGACGAAAATTGTTAGAGAGTTTTAGTTAGAAGTATCCCATTCCATGTTTGTAATTCTGGTAATTGTATTACCTTTTGTTTTTTAAGAAGTGCACACTTAATATTTGCCATGAAATCATGAAATACATACTTTGCATGACATTATGTTGTTGTATTTATCTTTCCTACTTTATTAAGTTGACTATCTAAACACCTTGGGTGGATTCATCTTGCCTAAATTTAAACATCTACAGTGTAGACATCTACTTCTAAGTTACTTGATTTATTCTGTCTTTATAGTCATATAGAGAAGTAGACATTTTTAGGAAGTGATTCAATTGGTCAGATTGCAAACATCTATTTTACCATGATGTTAACCATGCTCTGAATGTACGTCTTACTTTCCATGGTTTGCAAAAGAACTTGGAGTGAATAGTTCAGATTTCTAGACATCTACATCAGGCCAGATAAACTCCTTCCTTTGAGACTACAGTGAAAGCATTTTTTTTTCCTTTTGGACAGCATATGTGTATTAATGTATAGAAACTGAAAGAAGAGTTCATGCTTTGTTTATTATAACATGTTTCCACAACAGTCAATAATTACTTACCTTATTTGCCTAAAATAATAAATAGTTCAGTAGTTTACTGGACAAACAAAGGTGTTGCCTAGTAGTCTCTGCCATGAGATGTTTTAGATCATGGTTATTCAGAACTAATTTTTCTCCCTTGCATCTCAGCTTAAAAGGACTTGTTGGATATGACCATGACAGAGTTAGAGTGCTCGGAGGCTGCTGGACCTGAGCAAGAGCTTAGAAGGGCGAAAAGTGCCAAAACCATAGATTAATATTAGACTGTTGAATGGCTGTCCCAGCCAAACTTTCTCTCCTTGTCTGTACATTCAGTAGTGGAGACAGGAGGTATGGATGTCTGTGTAACTTAAATCATTGGGCCTGCAGCTGAATAATGATGTAATCTGTCTTGCCTGGCTTAAAGGATGTTCAGACTGACATGCAAAGGAGCCATGAAACAGTAGATAGTTTGTTTTGTTAATTTTATGAAAATTTCTTATGAATTAATGGCAGTAGCTTTAATAAACTTATTATTATAGATATTTTTTCTGGTGTGTGTCTCTTGCTGATGACATATTCTAGCTAACCTATACTTGTTATTACCCTGTGCTTCACCAGTAAACAATGAGACTTGCAACACATGTGGAGAAAAGTAGTGGCAAAATTTTAATGTTGGGGTTACAAACTTGGTCCTGTTCAGAGGCCAACAGTTATTGCTAAGGCTCTGTTACAGTGGAAGATGTTAGATGCTCATTTGAGCCAGCACATTAGAATCCAGGACCTCCTGGTGTTTGAGGGGATGAGAGATTTTAGTTCGCTCCACTAGAGACCAGGACCAAATTCTGGATCCAAATATCTGCTACTTAAACGCTCACTGACAGAGAAGTAGCAATAAGAAACAATAAATAATAATTCTGTGCTCATTAATTCATCCTTGTTGAACAGCCCTGGTAATTTTGCCATGTGTTTTTTTGTTATTTTTTATTATATGTTGTAAGTTTGCTGAAAAGAAGCATCAGTTTTGTGATGCTTGGTATTTACCATATAAAAGCCGGTATGGCAGTACTCATTTAAAAAAATCATATTAACATCTCAATACCAATGTATCAAAACTTAATTGTTTTTTGTCCTTTTTGCATACCATTAGCATGTGGTGTTTTATTTCTCTTTGACTAGTGCTTCCATGAAACAATCCAAATGAACAGTTTGCTGGCAGCTGTTTTAATGAACGAGTTATCTTCAATAATGCATTAAATTAGACTGAAAAGCTGTATTGAGAGATGATGTACTAAATTATGTGGAGTTTTGTGATTCATCAGGCCCATTTTTTCAGTGTGTAATGGATACTTTATTTTACAAAGCTGGGGCATATCTCTACAGGGGGGGAATGAAGCAATAAGAGGAAAGGAGTGAAATAATGCATATAATACGTATTGATGCATTTACATATGTAGATGGCTTCAAGGCTACTGATATTTACAAGAACAAGGGATGTCACAAGCACAGCTTTGCTATATTAATATATTCCGTTGTATCCTGTGTAGGTTCTTACAAAACGCTCAGCCTGAGCATCCCCTCCCTAGCAGTGCTTGACGCAAGGTGACAAACGTCTGTAACATGGTCCTCTCACCCTCTTCCTCTTGAAATAAACATCTCTGTGACTTTGACAAGACATGCTCTCCGTTACTTCGTAGACCCTCCTTAGCTGGGCTTGTAAAGAACTGGCCGACATCAAAGGGGCCTGGCTTTTATTCAGTAGGTCATCTCTGTTCCTTGCTCCTTGGTATGGAGATGCGTATCGTGTTGGGATAGTTTCATGCATTCAGTTTATTTACTCGGAATATATTTAGGTTAGAACTCTGCTACTCCGCTTGCCTTCCTTGATATTCTAACATAATCCTGTTGTTTAGAATGAAAAGGATCCACTTTCCTGGTTGTTTTGCTTTCTGATCATACTTGCAGGTTGCTCCCTATAGCTACTCGGTTACACCAGGAAGTGGTTCTAGCTTCCAGACAAGTTGGTTTCAGACTACGAGGGAGACATGTAGCCTCCTTTTCTCCCTTCTGCTGCACCAACACACCTCATTTTTCTTCACAGCAGCATAACAGCAGAGACATCCTTCATTCCATAAAAAGGATAAAGACACTTAATACTTACTTAGGTTTGACGTGCCGAAGTCTGAAACTGTTGACCAAAATAGCTCTCTTTAGCTGCTGATGTCTGATGCAGAATCACTGAAGTCTTAAAGTCATGAGATATTTCCTGCTTTGACTTCAAAGGCCCACTGTCCTGTTTTGTGCTTTGCCTGGTCTGAGCAACTCAGCTCTAACCTCCTGCATCAGTAAAACTGGGACTTAGAAACGTTCCTTGCTTTTCAGGGAGAAGAATCTGCAGATGTTCTCAAAACATGTTTGGCACACACTGCTAAGATCAGACCTCCTCAAAAATCTCCTTATAACTACCACCTTTGAAAATCATGGGGATGGTGTTCTCCTCTTTGAACAGAAAGCGGGAGGGCCAAGTTCATTTCCTCCCGCAACGTAGCTATGTTTTAACCAAGTCGTGTAACACAGTGGAACAGGCTGGTGCGTGGAATAAACTAGATGTTCCCATTCATGTGTTTACCATGTTCCCCGACCTCCACAGGGTGGATCCCTATGGCCCATGGCCCACAGGACAGCTGCACTGCCTGCACGTTCACTGTCTGTGCCTATTGACCTCTCAGGAATGACTGCTGAATAGAAAATATAGAGACAGTCCTGGGAGCAAAGACCAAATCCTGGAATTTCTCCA